GAATTAAGTTTGAAGCTATGAAGATATATTGCCATTTTTTAAACCTGTTTGCTCATCACCAGTTTTTATTTTGGGCCTTAGGACAGGTGAGTTTTACCAGCTTTTCAGGAAACTCTTGTTCGTAGAGCAGATCTGAACTTGATATTCATTTGGAGTTTTTCACCAGTACATATTTAGTGTAGGCTGTGTTTTCTTTTTAATTTGGTTAAGGCTTTGTAAAATTGGATGCTGCCTGAGGGCTGCCTTATGGCTGTTTGTTACATTAAGAGCATTATTGTAAAAATGCTGGCTACAGTCCATTTTAATTTTCATACTCTCTCATATTAGGAGCTGGGAAATAAAAAAAAATGTTGAGTGGTAGGATTACCATTTCAGAAGGATCTTTAAAATGCACTGCACAAGTCAGAGCTGAACTTACAGGTTCTAGGATGCTTAAAAGAAGAAAAACGGACACAATAAAAATGTTACATTTCTGCAGAAACTGAAATTGAGATGGTAAACTTGTAGGTGAATGCTAGGGAAGTCATATATATGCAAGAGAAGAAGAGTATGCTGCTTTCATCTTTTTTTTTTTCTTTTCTTTTTTTTTTGTAGCACCATAACCAAATAGAAAGCATTGGTCAGAGTTGTACCTCTAGCTGTTTTACATAGTAAAACACTTCCAAGGGGCCTTGGCATTTTTTTGATAGAGTATATTTAACTGTACGTACAGTCAAATTTCCTTAACACCATTTTGGCTCTGTATAATGTCTGTCCTCAGAATGCCTGCAATAATCTTTTAGTCGGGTCCGTGCTACTTTATTTTCAGGCTTGTGGAAAGGGAAAATATTTAATATTAATGTAGTTGTGAATTTATAATTAATGTTTTAGGGGGCTACGTTTGATATTATGTATGTGTCTGCATGTACATAAAATTTGGTTCTGGAAACAACAATTAGGAAGGAAGAAAATAACATGAAGTTCAGATCTGCATTCTGGTAGTTATTGGTTACAGTAAACAAATGAGGAAAAAAGATTGAAAGGTTCAGGAAAGCTTTGTCTTGGGAAGCTGAAAACATCCTTGATAATTACAGCTCAATTATTTCAAGATTTCCTCATTGAAATATATCCTCAGTTTGTTAATGTTATGGAGTTGGGGACTGATGGGAGGCATTCAAATCATCTTGCTCAGCAGGCGAATTTAGACATCCTATATCACTATGCCCCGTTGTAGTCAAAGGACAGAGAGATGCTTTTGCAGAGTATGAATTGGAGTTGGGTCTTTGTTTTTTGATGAAACATAGCGGGATTAGCTTGCTCATTTGTCCTGGTAAGGTAAATGCCTAACCATGCCTTTTTGTAACCAGGTTGGAAAGAATACTGTTTAAAAAAAATTATCACAACACTGAAAAGAGTAATGTGTAGCAGTGTGAGACTTGCCATTTAAACTGTGATTAGAGGATGGATGATCGAATAATGATCTCTGGTAGCTCCTATCTGCAGCTAGGTCACTTGAGCTTTGATCAGAATAGGGAATGTTGGAGTGACTATGATGCGATGACATCTAGAGGTTAGACAAAGAATGTTGTGGCTTAATAAATTCCATAAAGATCTGAGTTTGGGGAGAAAGCTAATGTCTTCCAAAAGTGGAAGTTTTACGCAAGGTACAGTCAGCCTATTGGGCTATCAGAAGCCATCAGCTGTGACGCTCAGGGGCTGTGGTGTGTGTATCTTGGCAGGCAGCTGCACCAGGTTGGTGGCGATATGCAGCTGTGCAGTGTGACAATTGCTGCAGTTGGGGTGCTTTGACCGTCTTCACGACTGTGTGCAGCTGCCATTTTGAAGGGGGTGTCTGGAACATTGGCTACTCTTACAGTAGATTAAATGTCTGTGAAGGACATATCAAAGTGTTTAAATGTAGCATTTTTGAAATGTACTACAGTTTGTTTTGACACTTAACTACGATCTTTCTGTAGACCCTTGCATATTTTTATTCTTAGGTCCCTTTTTTGGAATAGGATCTTGAGCAGTGAATAGACTATTAACATTTTAAAACTGTATCACAGTTTGGTACTGGATAGTTGAAAAGAATAATCATTATTTAATGTGCTAGGGTGTGTTGAACTTTGACGGGGCAGAAAATAGAAAAAAAGGAAGTTGCAGTCCCTTCAGGTCCTTTGTCCACTTCCATAGCATATTTGCTTCTCTTCTACTTACTAGTTTAATACCAGGTGTGTAAATGTGTAATACACGTACGGTATGTTGTTCTGGTTGCTTAGAGGGTTTTAAATGTCCTTATTTTAAATTTTTTGACTGCATATCTTTAGCTTCAATTTTGCATTTAGTATCCTTGGCTCCTAAAATGTTTTTTAGAGAAATTCTCCCAAATCTAACCATCATCAGTTAGGAAAAGGCAACTGGTGCTTATCAATCTTGCCTACAAAACACATATTGGGAAATATTATGTAAGCTGTTCACTGTGCTAGTTGCACATTTAAATTTATTAAATACTTCAGCAGCTGTGTGTGAAATGTAATATGCATCCTGTCTTAATGCATAAAGTACTAATAAAAGTTTGAACTCTACAGGCATGTCCCTTTGTAGGAAATTTTCTTTGACAAGTTGCTATCAAAGCAACTTTAGGGGTCAAGGAAGAATACATGAAAAATGCCATTTTCACGGTGAAAGAAGGGGGTGGTGGTGAAAAATGTAGGTAAGCTAAGGTTCATCAAAGGAACCATTCTGCAAACCTCAGGGGTAGCAACTGTGTCCCTCCTGCACCCCTCTGTGGTATGTCAGTAACATACCCGAGGCAAAAAGTGCACATCTGTTAAACAGCATTTCCATTATGTTACAGGGTTTCTGTTGTAGTTGACTTACTAGTCTAAGTAGTGAACAGTTTTGTTTAGGTTTCTTTGTCTAAATAACTGGGGGGGTTAAATTGTGGTGGGTTTGTTTGTTTGTTTTTAAAGTGAAGGAGCAAGGAATCTGGAAGCTTTAAAAAGCTCAAGTATAGGTATTATTTCTATATCCTCAGCAGATAAAATTGTATTCAGTTCCAGCTGAAGTAGTCTGATTTCTGGTCAGAGGCAAAGCATGCAGTGTTATTTTTAGTGAAGAATGGTTGTGACTTTATGTGGGTGTATTTTTTGTAATGGGCAAAATTATCTCCATTTACAAAATGGATTGCATATTAGCCAAGGGTATATCTGTCTATGGCAGGCAAATCCTTTCAACAAGTGACCTGATTTCATTTTAAGTAAGATTGCAAGTTGCATAAGAAGAGTTATTTTCCTTTGACTTCCGAAAGATGTTCCTTTTAGAATTTCCTGGTAGCTCTTTGCTTTTTCTCTGATATGTAAGTATTTGCTATCAATAAAAAGCTTATTAAGACATGACAAATAGAGATATCAGGGAGGTGTAGCAGCATTATGGAGAGACGGTATTGGGCTAGACCCTTCGTCATTAAGAAAAAAGAGCCTGATACTGTTCACTACAGAAAACACAGATTTGGAAGTAAATGTAAGATCACAACAGTTAAAATTTGTGGCTTAAAGACTGATAGGATGGTAAACTATAAAGAAGACTCGGCAATTAAACGAAGTGACCTGAATCTGTTATTGAACAGTGTGTTACAGTATAGTCTGCTTGCTGTAAGAGTCAGATGCAAACCCTGCATTTGGAAGGAGAATGTGGATGGACCCCACTGTATCTTGATTAGAAGTGACTCCATGAAGGATTTAGCAGCAAAGTGGATAAACGGGTGCAAGTCAGTGTGATACTATGGCAAATAACCTAAGGCAGTCTCTGCATATGTAAAGAAGAAAAATGGGTCAGTTGGTGTCTTGTATGTTTGAATGCAGCACTAGTGAGTGTGAGAATGTGTCTGGGGTTGATGCTTGCATTTTAAATGGATGCTGAAAAAAACAAGTTTCAGAGAGTATCATCAGAAAATGCTGCAAGGAACGGAGAACATATATTTTATCTGTTTATTTGACACAAAAATAAATTTGCAGGATAGCTTGATTGTAGTTGGTTGGTGACCAGAATCATTCCTTGTGACTGGAGCAGAGAAGAAAAACAGAGGGCAAAGGGACAGTGGGAACCTTCTGCAGCGTGAGCAGTTAGCTGTTTGCGGAATTATCAAATGGACACCTGACTTTTAGCTGCTTACATTGTGTATGACTGTACTGCAAACCAATGAACCAAAAAAAGAAATCACAACCAAAAAACCAAACCACACAGAAAACCATAGCATGAGATTTGTGGAGTATTTTGAGATGGCAAAAGATTTTGCTCTGAGGCACAACAAAAGTGAGGTCACTTCTTAAAGGTTTTTCCAGTGTAAGTGACAGTGCAGCCTGCAGCATGACTAGTAGTAGCCTGTGCTGGGGAGACTGGGTTCCTTTTTCCCCTCTGATTCAGACAGTGTAGGCAACCCATTCTGTTAAATTACCTATTAGGTTGAGCTAGCAAAGAAAATGTCTTTCTCAAGCTCTCACTTTCATCAGAGGTTGCCTGTATGGTCTGCAGCAATTTTCCTAAATAGCCTGTTGTTAAAGTATATTTTTTCTATAGAATGTTTTTGGTGTTGATTATAATAGTTTTATTTGGTACAGGGCGAAACAGTACAGCCAGTTTTAGTATTCACAGTGTCTGTATTTCTCACTGCCGTGTTTTGTCAGATCCAAATTATAAGATCAATGTACAGTTTGTGGTATGAAGTGCAATGATTTTGGATATATAGCAAGCCAAAGTATCTGATATAATGTGAAGCTGTGGTATAAAGCAAAATTTTTGTGTGATGTTAAGTTTACTTTAATAAACATGTAATAAATTTTTTAGAAAACTTTGCTGCTGTCTTTGTAATACCTGACGTACCAGAATCAACAAATACTACATAGTTTAATAATTTGCCAGTTTGAAACTAAAAAAACCTACATTTTATGGCTATATTCTCAAAGGAATAACTGCTTTGTGTTTTGTGTTTTTGTTTTTTTTTTTTTTTTTTTTTTTTCAAGGTATGGGCTGAAGCCAAACGACCAAATTTTGGCAGAGGAGAAGCACAAAGAACTGTAAGCTCTTTTATGGTGATATACGTGCATGTTATATGTATTTACTTTTCTGTGTACATACATATCTTACTATTAAATTCCTGAAGCAAAAATTTTGTGTTTTCATAAATAGCTTCAGTATTGCCTACTGTAAATTACACAACTTGCCTGAAAACTAATTGTTTCAAAAAAAGATTTAAAAAAGTATTTACATTAATTTGTTTTAAAAATTCTTTTCTTAACTGCAGTTGGTATACATGCAATTTAAATGTCTCAGTGTTCATCCTAGTTGATGTTTTATGTATGACACCAACAGCTACTGCCTCTCTGCAGTATGTCTGTGTGTAAGTGAAATGTTTGTTTGTATCTGGCAGAAATGAAAAGGAAGATTTTTTTTTTTTTCCCACCTCAGCTTCAGTGTTGACCCATTATTTTAATTTGCCTACTTGTGTGATATCATGGCCATTCCCACCTTCGCAAATTCTCATCAACACAGTTGGGCTGTGGTGTGGAACGTAGCTAAGAGTCACTAGTGCCCTGTCAGTTATATTGAAATTTTGCCTGTTTTGGCTAATCTGATTTGTAGCCTAAAACCTCTTGTTCCTGGGGAAAAAAATATGATCCACTGTTGAATGGATCATTCTTTGCCTTGCAGGAGAAGTAGCCATAGGAAGCTTAATCAAACATTGCAATAACAGCATCTTCAATTATTTTGCTCCTTCATTAAAGATGTACCCAAACCAAAGAAGCTTGAAGTTCACATTTATTCTAGTTTTAGATAGTCTTCCATGTTCAGGCAAAATAACCTTTATTTTTTATTTTGGTATACTATGTACTAAAATACAAAAGCTCTACATTTGAGTTGAAAGCAAATACTGGGTACTGTGCATAAGCATGTGTGTATACATTTGGAAAATGCAAAGTAAAAAGGTAGGTATTGTCTGCATATTATCTAGACATGGGGGCGGGGGTTTCTGAGTTTGTATGCCTGGTTTTGAAGCTTTCGATTTTACTTTTTTTTTTTTTCTCCTGAATTATGGTAGCTTTTAAAACAGATACTGAGGTTCTCAAGTTACTAACTTTTGAACTGTTTTTCAGTTTCAAAATACATATTTTGAAAGTGGAGGGGACTTACCAGAGCTTGGTATGCTTTCTGTGATGACTGATTAGTTCCATCAAGAGTTACTATATTAAATGGGAGAAAAGTACTCACTAAATAAAAGATGGCAATATTGGAATATTCCTGCTCACTTGTATGTGTAAGCATGAAGGTTACATAAAAGCAATACTATAATACTTTTTATTTCAGAATTTAGGTTAAAAATTCTCTTATTCTTAAAGCTCTTCATTATGTCTCTTTTATTACTGTTGTTTTTAATTCCTGCACGTTAATACCACTGGCTGAAAAGCTATACTCGGTGCATGAACTTCAGTTTTCTTCTTGCCTCATTCACTCACTGTTCTCCATGAGCTGCCTGAAAAACGTTCTATATGAATGTCCTCTTTGCCATCCCTCAAATCTGTATGATGTAACTGCATTTTTTTTTTTTTTCTAAGATAGTTGGTATGAAAGACTGTAGAAAATGCTTCACTTGTCAGCCCTTACATAATTTTATTCGGTGTCATCTCCATGATGACTAGTGGAATATCTATATAGAAGTTGTATTTCCAAATAAGATACAGATTTTTAGGATTACTTTCACATTTCTTCCTTTCAGGATAGAGAGAGTGGGGAATTTGGTCCCTTCTGTGTGCACCTGCATGCTTAGATATGAAAAAAAGGTGTTTTTTCTGTTTTAAACTTCTAGCTCTTGCACATACTTGTCTGTTTCTATTATTACACTAGCATTATTTTGCATTATTTCATAGTACCCCAAAAGACTTAAGCAGTTTATCCATGTGAGAGGAGGTAACTGTTTCAGATGAATTAATATCTATAGCTGTTAGGTTTTTCCATGTTAAAAGGTTGGATATTTCTCAATAAGGTCATAGATTTCAAACAGTAGAAATGTATTCTTGTAATGAAGACTTAATTCTTTTAAAAAAGAATTATTTGCTAAAAGCTTTAGTGATTGAATTACTAGCCAAATAAAATTTCTGTGTTCTTTCAGAGGATGGAAAAAGACATTTAACTTACACTTGTACATCATGGTAATGTACCTGTGACATTAAAACTGCTTGAGCTCCAGGCAAAGACAGGCAACAGCAGTTTTCTTTGATCGGTAGATAAGATTGGCTTTATGTAAAGCACACTCTCTAATGACAGAGTACTTGTGGACAGGATAAGTATGATTAACCCATTAAAAGTGTTAGACCATTTTAAAAGGTATAAGCTAGAAGTATTAAAAGTACTAGCATGTTGAAGGGTTAAACACAAGTTAAATGACATACAGGTCTCTATTTTGGACAGTACAAGTCGTACTGTGTACACAAGCTTTATTTGCACAATAGATATTGATTAAACTGAACCTTTTGATGTCAAGTTTTTCATTTGAAGTAGTTTCAATGTACTAAAATGCTGTTTGAGCTTTTTATTTTAATTATGTTGCATATTACTTAATTGTGTATTGGTTACTGATAGGTTTATAGCATACTCGCTTCTTAAATGGAGTGTTGAGCTCCTTTAAATAAAGAAAACTCAGTAAAACTAAAGTTTTTACATGCATCAGCTGCAACAGAAACCTGTCTTTGGTTTTTCATTGTTATCACTACAGTAGCTCCCGAGATGATTTATATACTGTTGGTTACAATGAAAGAGTTTGAACATGCTTTTGCCATTGACCTTGGCATATTGAATGTCACTGGATACTTGACCGGGGAAAAACTCTCATAGGTCAGTGTCACGTTGTTTCAGGACAGACCTTTGGAACTTTTCTAATATGCTGTGTGCTCTTCTTCTTGAACCATGTTAACTGTATGGTACGGAACAGATTAAACAGTGTTGAACCTCAGAGCACTTTCAGTCCTTCAAGCTAAATTCTCTGATTTAAATTACAGATGAGTTGTTAGATACTTAACTATCATTTTCTGATATTTAGATAGGCTTTCATATTTAAAAGAAATGCCAATTGTAGGGAATGGTGCAAGACAACTTACCACTAGAGTAATTGTCACTGATTTGATTATAAACTTATTCTTAGTCTCAGTGCCCTTATAACTAAGGTGTTCTCCTGAACCTGTCCTTATGTTTTTAAGTCAAATACAAACAAAGTTAGACTCTGTATTCTTGTTCAGTGCCGAAATCCCCCTGCTTAAAATACTTTCTCTTCCAGCCTTTGAAATGTCTGCAGCTTTTATATTGACTTACCTAGTAAAGAAGACTTCTTTTAGCATTCTTCATCTAATAGTACCATGATGATTTTTCTGACTCTCAGATGTCCTTCAGTTTCTTAGAGATCACTTCTATGTAGCTGTTCTTCATAAACTATAAATTTTATTCAGTAATGAGTGCCTTATCTCCAAAAGTAATTGGGCCAGTTACACCCTGACTTGGCTTGATCCTGTTGTCCTTGAATCTTAGTTATCTAGAGAGATAAGTACAGCCACTAAGAGAGACTGGAGTTGGTTTACAGGCATGGCATCGTGCTTAACTTCTATTTTAAGAGCTAAGGTATGAAAGATCACCTTTTTTTTTTTTTTTCTTTTTTTTTGTGCTTCCAATTCGCTTGGACTGTAGCAGCCTTTTAAAATTGTGTCTTTTCATTAGTATATACTTTTTGGTCTTAAAGGAGTTTGTTAGCACTGAAGTTCTAAGTTGATGCATGAATACATTCTTTCCAGAATTCAGCTGCAAATATCTGCCCCCCTGCCCCAATCAACTCCTGAATGCACACAGGGTGGAGGTCACTGTCCTGCAGCTCAGCCAGGGAGTGGAATGCATGGAGGCTCCTTAGTCTGCTTCCATGTAAAATTAGCAGATTAGTTCAAACCATCTTAACTGATGATCAAGCCAAGCATGCCAATGTTGCAGTGAATCAAATGAGCAATCATATTTGTTTCCACTGGCAGGTTTGTTATTTTGCAGTGAGAATAACAAAGATGAGGGAAGAGTAGTATCTTCAGTTTGCACAGGTGTTTTACAAGGTAAGCAAGTTGTGGTGGAAGAGATGTCCTGGAGATGTTTCCCACCTCCCCCAACCCAACTAATCCCCGGTAACTTTGAGGAGAGGAAAAAAAGAATTCCATCCTGCAAGACTGCTGGAGAAACTTGGATGTAATAATGTTGGTGAGGCCTTAATTTGCATGTTTTTTCCCCTTCTGAGAACAATAAATAAATATAAACTCAGAGTGAAATAGAAATACTTCTCCTCATCATTTCTATAGTCCTTTTAGAAGAGTTGCTCCTATTTTTAATTTTCAGAATTGGACTGAATGACTGTAACTGAAGGTCATATTAACCACGTATAGACTTGTGTATCTATAGACTGGCATGCATGTGTTGTTGCCTAGGCTGATATTTTTTTTTACTAGGTTCCACATCAAAAGTTTTTGAGGAGAATGAATTTAAGCTAGCTGCAGCAAGCGATGGAGTGTGATCTAAGTTGTCTTGATATTAGAAACACTTAATTTGTTTACCCAATGCCCAATACAGAGTCCATTTTCACTGTGTAGAGTAGTGTTGGCAGAGGTGTTGGGGTTTTTTAGTAATATTCTCTTTTTACTAAAACATTGGCTGTATCAAAATCTTGGTAGCTTGACTAGCTTCTATGAATAGGTGACTAAATTATATTCATTGTGAGTCTTAAAAGCATTGTTTGGAGTTTAGTGGTACCACTGAGTCTGTAAGCAATGCTTCAGGACACTTGTTTTAATACAGCTTTGACTGCTGGTTGTACAATTTCATAAACTGTTTTGTTTAAGCAGTTTTGGCCATGATGGAACACTCCATTTTTTTGGAAGTTAGTTGAAGGAACAAGTAGGAAATGTGGCAGCTATTTTCTGCCCCACAGCCACCTCTGCTTTCATAATGTATCTTTTTACAGAGTTAAAGGCCATAAAGTGAGAAAGAAGATAAAAATATA